TGGTGTTTAAGTGGTTTTCAACATCACTCAACTTGTTATTCATCTTGTTCTCAAAAGCGGACAGCATGTTTTCAATTCCATCCAAAGTGGTGTTTAAGATGCTCATATCTTCTTCTTTATTCATGTCCTCAGGAAAATTAACCATGTCCAAATTCAAATCCAATTCCACTGCATCCTTTATTATCTCTGTCATGGGAGCTCCTACATATCCTTCAGGTGTCACATAATACTGGGAATTTTCTGAAGTATTCATCCTTGCTTTCTTTTTTTCACCTGTGTCCAGTTCGAAGTGCTCACGCAGAATGATCATCAAATTTTACAGTTTTTTAGTTTATATACCTGCTATGAGCCGTGTGCACCTTTTTACCTGGGCTTTATATACCTGTTCCATCATCTATAAAGGAGCCGTGTGCAAAAAACTGAGGGTCGTGTGCAAAAGAAATATACGTTTTACCTGTGTTTTCTTATATACCTGTTTGCACCCTCTATAAAGTGCCGTGTGCAAAAAGTACGATAAACTTACCTATGCATTGTGACGTCATCCACTGTATAAATACAATGTGATTATGACGTCACACTTTTTCATTTACAGTCTAGACAGCCTATAGTCTAGCCAGCCTAACCAGTTTGAACTGAATTTTTTTACTGAAAGACAATAACAAATAACACACAATACAAAAAACATGTGTGTGTTATGTCTGTCAAGTTATAACACCAGGTCACTTTTTAAAAAAACTTAGAATTTCTTTTTAAATTTTTTAAACTTTTTTTTAAAATTAACTTTAAATTTTTTATCTTTTAACTTTTTTAAAATAACTTTAAATTTTTTTTTTCTTATAAATTTTTTTTTTTGGTAAACTCCCCTTATAGTTTTTAAGAAATAAAATTTAAAAAAAATCATGTAATACCAGAATCAGAATCAGTTTATTCGCTCAAACCATACAGCATGGTACATGAGGAACATAAAGTATATACAATGTCTATAATGTCGTCAGAGGTACATTAGTATAAATATACACACATATAAATAATTAATATAAATATATATACGTAAATAAATGTTTTACAACTGCATGTAGAGAGGATGTACATATAGTACATGTAATAATAAAGTATATGCAAAAAGAAAATACCAGGAGGACAGCTAAGAAGGACAGACAGTCTCAAATATTTTTGAAATAAATGTACATAGTTTTTGTAAAGATTGTATATTTGAATTGGCCATGAGTTCATAAAACTTAACAACATTTGGTCTGGTGCAGTAACTTTTGTGTAAAAATTTTTTTCTTATCTCTGAAAAAGCTGTACACTCTAAAATGTAGTGGTATTCATCGCCTATCTTTCCATTGTTACAAACTAAACATACTCTATCATTTAATGGGGTGCCACACCACCTCCCTGTTTCGACAGGTAGATGATGATTTGAGGTACGCATTTTCATCAATAGCTTTCTTTGTTTTGGGCGTAAATTTTTAATGTAGCTTTCAAATCCGAAATTGGTTTTAAAAATTCTGTAAATCTGGCCTTTGGAAGAACTATTTATGTCATTTGACCATTTTTGAATGAACTGGTCTTTTAAATTCTGATTTATAATAGCACTTAGCCATTTAGCATTGACAACACCTTGCTCATTCCATATAAATGAAAGTCCACAATTATTTAGAATTTTTTGAATACATTCAATCCATTGACATTTAATACCATCGTTACTTAATTGGTTATACATATACTTGTACACAATATTGACAATTTTATCTTCTGCACATGTAAACATCTTTGACCAGTAAGTAATCATTCTCGTAAAAACATTGATGTACAAAGGGAATCTTCCAGTTTCTCCGTAAATCATGTAATTTGGTGTAGAACTTTTCAAATTAAATATAGTTTTTAAGAATTTTAAATGAACACGTTCAATTATTTCCATATTTTCATAGCCCCATATCTCACATCCGTAGAGTAAGATGGGTGTGACTACTTTATCAAACAAGTCAAGCTGACATTCGATCGGTAAATTAAATTGTCTAATTTTTCTTATCACCCCGTACATTGCTTTCTGTGCTTGCTCACAAAGATGTTTCTTCGCTTTACAGTATGAACCTGTTCTTGATAATACAATTCCTAGATATTTAAATTCTTTTACATTTTCAATATTTTGGGTATTGTAATAAAATTTCCTCTTTAACATTGCCCCTTTGGAGAAAACCATGACTTTTGTCTTATCAACGTTCACATTAAGTTTCCATTGAGTACAATAAGTATAGAATTCATTCAATGCCTTTTGTAAATCATCAGCAGATTCTGCCAAAATAACAGTGTCATCAGCATAAAATAAAATCAAAAGTTTTAAATGTAGTAATAATTCATCTTCAATTTCTTTACTAATAGTTTGTAATCCGACTATGTCCTTTTCTACCAAAAATTCTTCAAGATCGTTTATGTACAAAGAAAATAAAAAAGGTGACAGATTTTCGCCTTGTCTTACCCCGACATTACATTCAAAAAATCCCGAGGACATTCCATTTTGTTTCACTAAAGACTTAATTCCCATGTACATATTCCTTATATAATTGAAACATTTACCGTTAATACCATTTCTGAATAGCTTATTCCACAAACCGTTTCTCCATACAGTATCAAATGCCTGTTTAAAATCAATAAATGCACAAAAAAGTTTCTTTTTTCTTTTCATAAGGATATCAGATAGAAATTGCAAAGTTAAAATATGGTCTAATGTTGAGTAATTTTTCCTAAAACCTGCTTGATTATTATTTAGAAGGTTAACCTCGTTTGCATACATTTCTAGTCTATTCGCCAATATGCGGGTAAAAAGTTTGCCTAGGCAGCTTAGCAGAGATATAGGACGATAATTTTCAGGCTGGGTTGGGTCGCCCTTATTCTTATATATCGGTCTAACAATACCAATTAACCATTCATCTGGAACGAAACCACTATCAAAAATTATATTAAAAAACTTCTTATACAATGGTAAAAACGTTGACAATGTTGTAGAAATATGTTCATTTAGAATGTTATCATACCCTGCGGCTTTACCATTCTTAAGTTTCTGAATAGCCGCTATTATTTCTTCTTCGACAATTTCACAATTGATAATACTGTCTACATGGTCTGAGTTATCATTTGTATCATCTAATCTAAAGTCGTAATTTTCGTCATCGTTAGCATCATTAGTATTGCCTTCATTCATTTCTTTTAAAAATAGAAACATATCTTGGATTTCAACAGCGCATTTTTTATCTTGACTTGATGCATTTAAAATTCTCCAATAATCTTTCGGGTTTGTTGAACGTAAATGGGCAAGTTTTTGAGTTAATTTATTTCTGTAACCTTTCAAGCAGTTATCCATTGTTTTCTTGTATTGTTTGCTAGTTGATTTAAGGTCGCCTTTGTTTTCAATTGTTTTATTTCTATTGTAAATTCGCTTTGCTAAATGGAATTTTCTCCTTGCTGTTTTACATTCCTGGTTAAACCAGGGTTTGTTACACTTTTTATTATCCATTGAGGGGTTTTCTATATTTTTTTTCATACCAAACGTTTCTTTTGCTGAATTAACAAAAACTTCACAAATGTTTTTCGCTATTTTGGTAACATCATCCCTGCAAATACTTTCAATATTAATAGATAGTCTATCTAGATCATTTTCTATGGCTAATACAGAACTCACTTCAATATTGCTACGAAAATCGTCTGCTTTGTCCGCACACCATAATTTTACACTTGGTTGATTTTTACCTGTTCTACAACTTTTGACCTCTTTGTTACAATTAGTGAACGAAAAAGTTATTGGATTATGTACATCTGAAAAAAGGTTACAAAAATCAATAATTTCAAAATTTTCCACAATTTCAAAAATATTTGCACTGGCTACAACATAATCAACAGTGCTGCTATTCTTACATGTGGCACTACCTGTATTTTTATCTCTGCCAACCCGGCTATTCACAATATACAAGTCATTATTTTTACAAAAGTCAACAAATTTATGTCCATAATTATTTACAGTACAGTCTTGTACAACTCTTTCTAAAGGAATCTGGTGGTCATTAAATATCGAACATCTAAGAGCAATCTCTGAATGAATCGGGCTATGAGTTACCTGTGTCAAAAATTCGTCAGAAGTACAATAGTCGTGTAATTTACCAACTCTGGCATTGAAATCTCCAAATAAGCATACATATTTACAGTTATTTGCCATGTTTAAAATTTCTTGCTCTATTTCTAAAAAACAGTCGGGAGAGGAATATTTACTCCCTTCTGGTGGAATGTACACAACTCCACATAAGATATCTTCACAAGTATTAAGTAGAAATTTACTAAGTTTGAACCAAAAAATGAATTTACAATCTGTTTTCAAAATATTTACATGTTTTATAATATCGTCTCGTACTGCTATAACTAACCCACCAGATCTTCTATTTGATAATTTGTGTCTATTTTTCATGAAAACTGTGTAGCCGGTTATGTGTATATTGTCCGAATCATCGGTTTTAGTCTCTGAAAGGCCTATTATGTCATACTTAGAGATGAAATCGTAAAACTCTGGATAATTAAGTCGTTGTTTAAGTCCACATACATTTAAGGATAAAATTTTCAGGGATTTGTCCCTGTCAGTTTGTTCTCCCGCGATTTCCTATGCCTGCTCAGGTGTAGATCCCTGTCGCTGTCGTTTTAGTGCCTGGCGGTCGGTATTTTGCGGCGTGCTCTGTTGATCCATCGGTTGATAACTCGAGGTCGAATTCCAGGTAGGTAACGATTGTACAGGTGCGCTGGGCGCGGATCCAGCTGATGGTATGTATTCTTTACCGTCGATGTACAGCGTGTCTTTCACAAGCTTGGCGCGCTTATGATCTTTCAATGCTTGCCGAAGAACCGGATAGAGTTTTCTTCTTCTTTCCTCACATCAGTGTTATGTTATTGTATGACTTCATCTTTTATACAGTCGGGTTCGGGGTTTCGGGCGGCCATGGCGTCAATCTCGGCAAGATTTTACCCCAGTGAAAAAGGCTTGTAATCCACAGTGTAGGTCGTTTAAAGTTGTTTCACATTGTTTATGATTGTGATTATGTTATCGCTCACCTATATGTTTAATGTCAGCTATGCTAAATAACCCATTTCTGTGTAATTTGAGAGAATGTTTTGACATGTGGTGAAAGTATGGCGTGCTATTCATGTTATCATTTAAAAAGTCGATCCTAAATAAATCTGTCTTAAAAAATACATTTTACGAATGACATTTAATATGATTGATTAGAGTATAGGTATTCATATATAAGAGATATTATTTTGCATTACATTTAAACATGTTTTTCTGTCCTGTTTGTCTGTCAATTGTTGCTTTACTTCCTTTGTAAAATGAGATTAAATTGAGTATCACTGAATATTGTATGCTTTTTTTTCAGGATCAGCTAAGATGTTGTTTCACTGGATTATTTAATTGGGCATATAATTGGATAATTCTGGTAAGTTTGTCTTTGTTTTGTTTACATTTCCTATGATGGACATATCTTTGCATTTAATCATGATTATGTAAAGTTCTGTTTTGAATGTAAATGTACTGTATTTATCCTCATTTCATGTGATTTACAGTTGTTTAGCCTGCATGTAACTCAGAGTACATTTAATAATTCTATGATGGGTCATTCCATGATATTGAATTTAAATCAGAAAAATGTTCACTAAATTTTAGTAAAATACATGGTATCTTTTACATTTCTATCCCTTTTGTCTGTAAATTATTACTTTACTTACATTGTAAAATGAGGTTAATTGTGTATCACTGAATTGTATGATTTTTTTTTCAGGATCAGCTGAGATCTTATTTCACTGGATTATTTAATGCATAGGCTAATTGGGCATATAGTTGAATATCTCTGGTAAGTTTGTCTTGTTTTTTTTAATTGTTTATACATTTCCTATGAAGGTCATCTTTGCATTTAAGCATGATTATATGGTTAATTTAATTACTGTGTAATACTTATGTGATCTGTTGTCTCTAACTTACTTTCATATAAGCACACCCTTATTTAACCTAAAATATATTAACACATGATTAAGGGATCTTCAGAATATTAATAAGTCCTTTTGTATAAATTATATGATTTAATTTCATAATTCATTATGTATGTTACCCATGGCCATGGAATTCAGACTTACTAAATGGTGATCAAAGAGATATTAATTAGGAATCTAATAAGAGAAAAGGAGGAATTTACAAAAGATTAATCCTAAGTCATTTACTTTTTGTTTTGATTCTAAATATGTGGGATATATGGCATACATATATTTTCATTTTCACTTTTGTTTCTTAGTAATGAGCTTTTCAAAAAATGAAGGACTACATGTTGTACTGTGATGATGCTAAAAAAAAAGATGTATTTTTCTGTATGCAGTACTGACAGATATTAAACAAAATTGAATCTGCTGTTAATAAAAAATCTTTTAGTGTCTAAATAATTAATTTGATAATCATTTTATTTGTGATATCAATACAGTAATTGTGCTTTTTTTTATTATCTAAAGATAACATGATGAACTTTTCTCATCTGGAGTTAATGTTAAAAACAATTTGTTTTGAGATTAAAAACAAACATTTTCATGAACTTTTTTGGCATTGTACATGTTGTATTTAAACATGCATTGTTTCATGCAGTACTCTGTCATATTACCAAAATGATTATATTTTCTACAGTCCTCAACCTGGAAGAATTGGTTTGTTCTTAACCATCTATAATCCATTCTCTATGAAGTTCAGACTGTCTGCTGTTCCTTTGGAAATACACAGTTAGTCAACAAACATAGAAACACACAAACTTGAAGGTAAAGTTTCAATGAGATACAATTGTAATTTTTATTTATTTATTTTACATATGCATGTTTATAATTTTGAATTGATATGTAAATGATATATTTAAATAAAAAGGGCTTGGTGGTCATGGTCATTTTTTAGACTATATTGATCTCCTATAGAAGAAGAAGAAGAGCTCCATTTCAATATATATACAAAAATGCATGATCAAATGTTGAAACTAAAATGTATGAAAGTTTTCTTTGCCAAATGATAGTTAACAGCTGAAGATAGCATATCTAAAGAATAAGTTAAATATGGCTAATTTGTAAACCCCCCCCCCCAGTTCCTTAATATCATAGTTGGTAAAGATAGCAAGTTTTGACTCCAATTGCTGATGAATTTTAAATTTTTCATTTAATATTAACATTATATCACAGGGAAAGAATACTATAATGTAGCACATCAGGATGACCAGAAAAGAAATCTTAATGACCCTCTTGATTATGCAGGGCTCTCGATTCTCTATAATTGGGGCCGATATTCGGCCCCGTTCCCAACGTGAAAAAGGCATCTTTTTTCCCAAATTTTAATGTAAAAATTCCCAATGAATGATTGCTTAAATTTATTACTTAAAAAATAAAATAAAACATATCTGAGTGACAGTCGTAAAAGCACTGTAGAAATATGAGGGAAACACTTCCGTGTTGTAAACTGGTAGTTTGTATATATGCTGGAACCAGTTTAGTATGAAAGCGAAAGTCGACTGTAAATTACGAATTCTTTTAGGAACGATTTGTTTACTCACAAACATGTCGCATAATGCGAAGTACTACAGAAAAAAGATTTCAACTAAGACAACTGACAAATGTAAGAAAATAGACACTTTGTTTAAACAACAGGCTGCCGCTCAACAATTAACAGAATCTCATTCTGAGTTAGTGGTTACTGACACCCAGCCAACCGAACAGGAAACGACGAAGCAAAATGAAAGCGAGGAAATTCAGACTGACAGTGTGCCGAGTGAGGAGTTTGAGGTAAATCAGATTGAAGCAAATCCCGAGAGCTTGGCGAAAAGTGACACAGATACAGATGACTACGAACCACCCAAGAAATTAAAAATTCAAGATAGCAGAAAGAAGTCCGCTATTTCTCATGAATTGGCATTTCCGTGGCTGTACCACAGTGCAGCAAAGGAAGCTTACTTTTGTAAGTACTGTGAATTTCGGTATGGTGACTGTAAAAGTGACTCAACTGCAACTAGTCCATTTGCAACAGGTGGAGTTAAGAGCCTGGGAACACACCCAACACGAAAATTAGAGAAGCATCATAAATCAGAAGCCCACCAGCAAGCAGAGACTATTTACCTGGGCACTGGTAAGTCTGATCAAAGTCCATCAATTTTGCAATTACTTCAACAACAAAATGATGCCTTAAAAGAACAAGACAAAAAGAGAAATCTAGAATATCTTGAAACTCTCTTTAAGACTACCATATTTATGCTAAGTAAAAGGTGGGCGATAACTGACAACTTGAAAGACATGATCAAGTTTTTGGGAGACGAGCTTAAGTACAAACCTGTAGCAGATTACTTTGACTACCACCCAACCATCACTTATACTTCACCATCATCTGTTCAAGATATTGTTTCTTCCCTTTCCTTCTCCATTGAGAGTGAGATTCTGGAGGCTATAAGAAAAGCTGAGTGGTATTCCCTGCTAGCTGATGAATCAGCCGATGATGCAAACAGGGAGCAGTTTGCCGTCATAATCCGTTTTGTTGATGGTGGAAAAATTCGGGAAGTATTTCTGGGACTGCTTAAACTTCAGTGCACTGATGCAGAAAGTCTGACATCCAGCCTGGAATCCATTTTGATTGCCAAAGGACTCGACGTCAGTAAAGCCATCTTTGTTGGTTTCGATGGCTGCAATGTCATGAGTGGAGTAAACACTGGTAAATATTAATTACTTTTTAATTTATTTTCTTAGACTAGTGAAAAGTACTTTAATATAATGTAAGCTTTTTCATAGTTAATTACTGAGTTATTTCATTTTCTTCTTTGTGTTCTGACAGATAGACAGTGAATAGTTGAGTATATTATAATATTTGGAAACTTTTATTTAAGGTGTTCAGCGACGCTTTCGTCATCTGGTTCCTCATCAAGTGTATATTAATTGCAGAAACCATAAACTTGTTCTCTGTGTTAAACATCTTATAAAGGAGTTCCCAGTCCTCGAAGAGCTTGACTCGCTACTACTTGGAATATGGAAATTATTCCACTATTCTCCAAAGCGGTATGCCGTCTTTGAAGAAATACAAGAAACATATCATCAGAAAAAACTCAAGTTTATAAGGGCTGCAGCTACCAGGTGGCTAAGTCATGGGCGTGCATGTGTCCGGCTTCTAGATAGGTTTTCTTCAATTTTGGACTCTCTGGACGCAATATACGACGCCAAAAAAGAACCAGAGATTCTAGGTTATAGAAACATGCTCACAGATAAGAAGACCATTGCTGCTGCAACAGTCCTTTGTGATGCACTTAAGCCAGTTGTCATCTTCAGTGACTATTTACAAGGAGATGTTCATTTCAGCAGAGTGAATATGAAAGTCAAGGTAGTATACTATATAATGTATAATTCAAATTGAAAAAAAAATTATATTTAATTTATTAATACTCTGCCTCAGATGATTTAATTTTATTACAAAATTGATAATATTATACAATTTTACAAAAATCATAATGTTTTTTACTTAGGAACTCACTGATGAACTGCACCATTTAACAGAGAGATATAGAGTGTGTGCTGAAGGCAATGATGCAGATCCTGATGTTGACTTACACTTCTCCAGACTCCCAACATACTGGGCCGAAATTGATGATAGGACAGAGTTAGCAAGAAGAATTCGGTAAATTATTTAATATTTTCCAATGAATATTTATATTGGACATTGTACATTTATATCAATTGTCTTCTGTTAATTAAATATTTAAATAGTATGATTATAATAAAATTTAAATTACTATTTAGGCAAGGGGTGAATGTATATACAATGACCCAGGTTGTAGCTGAACTGGCAGTCCCCCTCATCCATGCTCTCATACATGAGATTGAGGACGGATTTCATTGTTCGCCAGTCCTGGCTGGATTTAGGGTATTTGAACTAAAAGAGGTTCCAAATACTGTTGCCGAATTAACAACGTTTGGAGAGGTAGGTTCAAAAATCAATTAAAACATTATTAAAAAAGAATTGAATTAAACATTATTTCATTATTCAGTACTGTGAATTGTCCCAGTCAGTGGTATTTAAATATTTTCCAAAGATTTAAATTCATCATTAATTTTAAAAAAAATATAATCAAGGTAGTATCTTAACATTGTGCAGGAGGAAATGAGACGTTTAGCATCACATTATGGCAACACACTTGAAGATGTATTCAAGGGACATAGGACTGTCTCCCAGCCTGTCTTTTCTGAGGAAACATTCAAGCAACAGTTTGCTGGGTTTAAACACCAGATGTTTTTAATGAGGTATCCTTATGTTTGTTTTATGGAGTTTGTTGTTAAATTAATCCAGTTTGTTTTATTCTTACTTACCAACTTCTTGTTATATTTTCATGTTGATGTTAATTTTGTATTTTTTATTTAGAAATAAAATTGTTTCAATGTTATCTTTTTATGAATTGATATTGTTTATTTTAATTTTGAATTTCAGTGCTAATGAACTAGATCTCAGAATGAGATTATCATATAAATCAGTCTAAAGTACCAGGACAGTAAGTGTTTTACAATTATTTGTAAAAGTTTGCACTGAAATGGCAGCTCTTCTGGATTCAATATTCAGGTCAGATTTTAAATATGCAGCTGCATGTTTGTTTTACTAATTTTTGTTTAAAATAATATTAGTAAATTAATAGTCTATTATATCAACTTACTAAGATGATTTTAATTTAGTAGGAACCCTTTAATGTTACACACTGACTTAGGGAAACACTAACAACAGTGAATTATTTATAATTATAATATTTTAATAAAATAAAACTTAGAGTAATAGTTCAAACCAAATAGCAATATATATTATTATATTTACTAAAGTTACATATTTTAATTGAATTTATTGAAATTCATGAAAAGTAGTGTACTACAGTTGAAAGAGGCAGAGATTTAAAGCTCAAATTTTATTTAATTCAAGTTTTAAAAATCAAATGTTTAGTCAAATTAATTGTTGTAGTCTTTAAATTAACTCTTTCATTTTTTTTTGTTCAGACAAAGAGCTTCTGAGGAAGAGTTAGCAGACCCACAATTTTTACTTAAACAGTTCCAGGATGATGTTTTGCGTGCCTCTTATCCTGCCATGTACCACCTGGTTTTGTTGTCTTGCCTAATTCCAAGTTCCACAGCATGTGTGGAAAGGCTGTTTTCTCTTATGAACACGATTTGCACACCCCTCAGGAGCTGTCTTAAACAACAGAGTCTGGACAACATTATAAGAATTGTGTCAGAGTCCAGTGGTTCCTTGACTCCAAGGCAGCTGACCAGAGCCTTGGAGCATTTTAAGTCATCCAAAGACAAACAATTAAAGTTCTAAATGAATAAAATGATTTGTTTTCAGATTATTCTGTGTTTATTTGATTTTTCTTGTTTTTAGAATTAAATTATGACTGGTAAAAATTTCCCAATTTTTATAAAAACTTCGCTTTTTTCCCAATTCCATTGGCCCCGGCCCCAGTACCAAAAATGGGTGTGAGAGCCCTGTTATGTATAAAGACTGTAACCATATAACTGATGTAAGATGATCTGATTGTGTGCAAATAAAATTTCCTAGTGTTTCTTCTACCCAAGATCTTCTTATGACTGCATGGGACTGCTGTAAACCTTCTGTTAAAGCACACATTGGAGCATGACACTTACTTCAATATCATTTCTATGAGTTTGTGTTCTTTCTTTTTAATAATTTAGTAATGAATTCAAGTGTTATATCTCCTTTAATCTCATTAATATGTATGCTTCCAAAATCATTATAGATCTGTCTGTATAGTTTCTTCAGCTCTTTGAACACAAATACCCTGATTCAAACTTTTGAGGTGAACATCATAGAGACATCATAAATGATTATCAGAGTGTGTATCACAATCTTGACCATAAGGTCGATTTAAATGGTCAAAGGCACAACAAATGAAAGTGAAAACTTTTTTTTTAATCAGAATACATAATTTTGTAATAAACAAACACTGGAAAGTTACTCTCATAATGAGCCTTAATGTCTTCCAAGAGTTCAGTTTGGACTTCCTCCATTAATCCTTATATCCTGTAATCCTTGTATCTCCAATGGTTTTGTGGGCTAAAAATCATGTGTCTTTAACAATCTTTTTTTTTCTGACAACTGTTTTCTCTTATCATCTATAAACTTGACTTCTTCTCTAGTCAAAGGTCTTTCAGGGTAATCCAAGTAATTCTTACCCTCTTTTGGTAATAAATGGTTATATTCTTCATTTGCTTCTTCTGCAATCAAGGGTCTTTCTATGTAATCTCTGACAACATTAAGTACACCCTTTTCTGGACATAATTGGTTATATTCTTCTTGAGAAATGATCTCAATAGTGCCATCTTTTTTTATTTTAACTGGTATACCTCTGTCTACATCTTTCTCTGAAAGAATTCTCTCTCCACACTGAATTTTACTCATTCCTTTACTCTTTTCTTTACTGGAGGTGTTACCCATGGTCAATATGAAAAGTCAAAATCTTGTGTTACACCTTGTATTTATACCCTTTTTTGTCTATATTTAGAATTCCATCAAGCTTTTATTACATTAAAAAAAAATTTTAACTAAGACATTATTTTTTATTTTCCAGGATATTCTAGTGAGGGCTTGTGGAAATGATCTATGTCTACTCTCAGAATGGTGAAAGACTATCAGATTATGCAAAGACTAATAGAATATCCTCTCTTAAAACACTGAAACAAGAAAATCAAACAGGAGGTGGATGGAGGATTTAAGAAGCACATAGATAAATATGATTTCAAAACCAATTTAACCAGTATGATCATAAACTGTGGTTTACAGGATGACAAAGAAAGGAGCCAGGATTGTATCTTTCACTGTCAGACAATGACTATGGATAAAGTGTAGCCATTTATCAGACTGAGATCTAGTCAAATCAAGTATTGAAAATATGAAAATATGATTTTCTGATAGCATGAGCTCTTTTAAAACTTATTCTCACTGACCTCAAAGTATGTGAATGTGACTTTTATTTTTACCAATTCATATTGAAGACTGTTGTTATGTATGGGAATTACACATTAAAACCTTTTATTTTTCATCTAATTTTTACAACCCCCTAGAAATTAACACAGATATCCAGATGCTGGATTTAATGTTATTATTTAACTTTCCTGGAATTGTAAATATATTTTGTTTGTGTATGTATCATGTTTAATTTTGAATTTAAAATTGGTCTCAATAAGACCCCCAATAAAGATGCAAGTGTCCCATAATCTGTGTTTTAATAATATCTTGAATATCTTTATCATACCATATTCATCATACTAATTACATATAGAATGGTTGTAGGAATACACTTTGTTGTTAAGGACACTTTGTCAAGGTCAAAGCATAAGATTATTGAGATGACTTCTTTGACAATAATTTGTAACTTACAAACTTCACATCATAAGTACACACTCAGATGAAGAATCAATAAGATATTTCTATAGAGTTTTTGGATCATTTACTCCTGGGTAAAAGTTAATTACTGAGATTACTGATTTGAATCCTGTAATGCAATAACTTAAACATTGTGTAATAACTTATAGACTTTATAAAAATTTGGTGCAAATTCTTAGGTTTAGGGAAAAAGTCAAGAATGTGGATATGACTTTTATTCAAATGGTGCAGTTCAGCAACTCTGGTGATTAACATACCTTCAGTCATAAATACATGTAGATAGGTATTTGGAAGACTCCTTTAGAATTTGAAATTTTTATTTCAAAAGTATAGAATTTAAGTTTGAAAGATTTAAAATGGCAGCATATCATTTGCTTGTGAATTAAAAAAAATAAATCCAAACATATACATCTTTGGATGATAATTGTAGAAATCTATCAATTCCTGGACTTTCTGTCTTGATATTTTCCTTTATTATCTGTAAAATTTTAATGACTGTCTTTTTAGTTTAGTTGAACTAGTTTCTTATTAGCATGTGAAAATGGCATCATCCAAATAAGTTCATCTACATGTTATATGTAGGAGAGAATTTTTCATCACAGGGAAAGAAAGAGATTGTCTTGTATAATATAATGCATTTGTACACAAAAATATCTTTCAATTTCTAACATGTTTCATTTTTGTTACATTGTAAACATTTCTAAGTAGGGCATACATCAGAAACTCTTAAAATGATCTCTACTGTTCTATCTGAGCATCAGGGTTTAACAGTACATAACAATTCCAAATGATTTTGGACGCTTTTTTATGTATCAAAAAGACAAAACAAAATGTTTGTTCACAGATGTTCCAATGGAAAACAACCACAAAGAAATGATTTGATATGTTCTCTATGTGATTCATGTAAAATGTATTTTAAAATTGTATCCTAACATTTATCTTTTGCATAAATACATTTTTTTTTTTGTGGAGAATTTCTCATAACTTTGAAAAAAGTAGTCTTATTGTATAATAAGGTTAACTTTAAATTTTGTAGACTTAAAAGTTGTACATGATATGTTACACATCTTGCATATTTTCATTTCAAGGCATTCAGCATATATTGTGGTTTTGTCTTAAATTTGTTTGTTCATGTAATCAATAATTTGAGAATTTCTCATAACTTTGAAAAAAGTAGTCTTATTGTATAATAAGGTTAACTTTAAATTTTGTAGACTTAAAAGTTGTACATGATATGTTACACATCTTGCATATTTTCATTTCAAGGCATTCAGCATATATTGTGGTTTTGTCTTAAATTTGTTTGTTCATGTAATCAATAATTTGAGAATTTCTCATAACTTTGAAAAAAGTAGTCTTATTGTATAATAAGGTTAACTTTAAATTTTGTAGACTTAAAAGTTGTACATGATATGTTACACATCTTGCATATTTTCATTTCAAGGCATTCAGCATATATTGTGGTTTTGTCTTAAATTTGTTTGTTCATGTAATCAATAATTTGAGAATTTCTCATAACTTTGAAAAAAGTAGTCTTATTGTATAATAAGGTTAACTTTAAATTTTGTAGACTTAAAAGTTGTACATGATATGTTACACATCTTGCATATTTTCATTTCAAGGCATTCGGCATATATTGTGGTTTTGTCTTAAATTTGTTTGTTCATGTAATCAATAATTTGAGAATACTCAAATTAGAAAATGTATGAGAGAATAGGCAAGAAAATGAGGTTAAAAATGTTTTTTACTACAAAGGGTTTAATCTATATATTTATTTTATAAGTACAATCAGTCTATACATTTAAGGTATTTCTGTATGAAATAAACTTACATTTGAGTATTTTAAGACAATTGTAAACATTAATTTAACCAGTTTTAAAAAATGATTAGATTCACTGTCAGCATGTTATTTCTTGTAAAATAAAAAGAAAACAAACAATTTTATATGAGTCAGGTTTTTTTTTAATGTAAATAAGAACCATTGGAAGTTGGGAATATTTCACAAAGTTGATTGAGCATAATTCTCACTAGGACAGTTAGAGTATTATGATTTTACCCTTTAAGAAATCATTTCATATTTTAATATACAAATCATGTTTAGTCAAGCAGTATATAGTTTACATTTGCCAAAAAGTAAATGGTATCTCTATTCAGGGTCAATCCAAAGGAATGAAAACAATGTTTCTTTTTTTTTTTATGTATCAAACTTTAAGGTTTTGTTACAATAATTTCACTGTGTTCATTTTCTGATTTCTTTCTATGTGTGGATAACCCTAACCTTGGCAATAAAAATACAGGAAATTAATCAATTATGTCAGATGATGAAGGTGCACACCAGAAATTAACATGGACAGAGAATTCTGAGTTAGGGATGTGAAATAAAAACAAAATGTGGATCCATCTATTAGGATTGTACATATTATGAATGATGGGTACTATGACATTAAGAATGACATGAAAGAAATAAGTTTGATTCAATTATATGAACAGTTAATGCATACAGTGAAAAGGGAAGAAATATTTTACTTTATAGGCATAAAGGAACAAACACTTACCCAATGCATCAAAATTTTACTTTTTGAAGAAAAGTAACCCTACTTGCTTTTTTAAGTTGACATTCCTATATTGTGTTTGACAGGTAGACTATTGGTTTCTGACTAGTATAATGAGAACTTTTTATTTAAGAGTCCTCAGATTATTCTGATATTCTGGTTAAGATATCTGTATGACATCAATTAATTTGTTCATACAAAGGGATAAAAGCTTTTCCAGGTTTCCTCTTTACTCAGATTAGATTGTGTCTTGTTAATATATCCAACATATAAGATACTCATCCAAGTCAAACAAAGGTAAATAAATGACCTTATTAAGTTTTTAGTCAAAAGGTCAAAGAGATGTGGACATCTTGTTTACATGTAATTGGATAATTGTTTAGTTAATATTCACCAAACTTCATGGTTCGGTTAATTAAACAAGCTACATAAATTTTGGATTTTCAGGTCAAAGATCAACACACAATTTTGCTATACCATTGTTGTCCATGAATATCTTAACACCTCAATATTGACTTTTCAGGTTAAAGTTTAATGTATTTCTGCTACAGTAAAAACTTCATGATAAGAATCTCAGAGTGATATTTTTTATTTGTAAGGAATAAGGTATAAAATCTCCTACTCTTTCTATAAAATGTCACTGAATGTGCTCCTTCATTTTAGAGAGTTTTATGAGCAAAATCATATACTGACTTTCAATCCTTCAAAACACAATATGTATATTTAAATCTTGAGATTAAGACTTTTAGGTTTTCAGATTTTTAGGATTTCAATTTTAAAAACTTTCAGACTTTTAATCTTTTAAAACTTTCAATCTTGAGGACTGAGTATTTTTGATATTCATTTGGTATGCCATGTCTTTTAAATCATTACCATTAATCCTTAGTCATTCAAACTTTTCATATATGTAATACCAGAGTGTGAAAGTAACAGTGTATGTGCAATCTTCTTACTGTTTATCTAAAATTACTGATTTTATTACAGTCAAATAAAATTTTCTGATGATCAAAATTTCCAACTGAATTCAAAGACAATCTGCCTGACCTATACATATTTAGAATTTCAATATTATGCACTCTTGAATATCCATAAATATCAATATATTGATATATAGGGATGGTCTTTTGTCCAGGAAAACCTGAATTTTAAAGTTTAAAAATGATAAAATTGAATTCAATTAATAAAATTAATTAATTTTTTAAATTTGAACATTTAAATTTTTTTCCTTTTGATTACCAGGCTGTCTAATAGGTGCATAAAAAACTGAATACAGATCATTTTAAAGTCTTGCATTTTTTATGGCAAATCATTAAATAATGGGAAAATATATATAAACTTCAGCCATACAGAAACAGGAGTGAAACTGAAAAGCCATGTAGGTTTGCATTCTTATTTTTGTTTTACTCTATGTTTGACTTGTACCTCATGTGGGGGTTTTTTGTCCAATGGAATAAATAAAAAAAGAGGGGGTATTCTCTCCTTAAGTTTTCTGTAACCATTAGCACAATCTCAATAAAAACAGCACCTTTTAGGAAAAACTTATGGCTTTTTTTTTCCTGTTGTATGTTAGACAGACTTATTTTCTTTGAAACTGTGTTCATGTGAAACTGAATCCTTTTGACCTTATATACCTTAAAATTGAAGAAGTAAAAAAATTATACCTGTTTTAAATTGGATAACCATGTTCAGTGAGATACTTTAGTGAGATACTTTAGCAACAAAAATACAGGACCTGTGACCCCTTCTATTTATAACCCCCTTTTTTAAATAAAATAAATTCACATTAAAAACACACATTTTTTAAAACATTTATTTTTTCATCAAAACAATAACACATACATACATACACTTAATATCCACAAGTAATGTACACATGTTTTTCATAAGTGTGTACAAATTGTTCAATATAATGTCTATAATGATCCTTATTTCCTGCTAGTCCACAACATAATCCAAAAGGAAAAGCATAAGTCTGGTAAGGTAAACTACCCATTTGTTGTAAACAAGCTTGAAACCATTTCTCTCTATTATATGCTGTGTCCTGATAAGTGGAAATTCTTCTAGGTTTGTGACTTGGTTTTCCATAATCCCATTGAGCTAGTAAACAAATGACCACAGGGGTTTGTGAAGGAAACACCTTAATAGTGCCTGGAATTCCTCTATCTTCTTCTAAAGCTATATTTGGAAATCTCGAAGCGCTGCGGGTGGCATAGAGATTGGCTTGTGGGAATTTCTCTGCAATAATTTGACTCAATCCATAAGCTTTTACAGACAAACAATCACAGTGATGAACAATAGCTTCTACCTCACAGTTGAGTAAATCACCTTGTATCTCCTGGACACTCATGATGTAAAATGAATCTATGTTTTAAAACACCTTTGTTTTTTATACCCCTCACACCTTTGCAAAAAGATAAGGGCCGTGTGCAAAAAATATGCTGACTATACAGGTAAATACTTGGCAGCGATTCAAATCCGTGATTGTGACGTCATCCTTACAAAACCTAATGTATAGAGAGAGAGAGAGCTTAGTTGTGTGTTTCTAGGGAAAAACAATACTAGAATTTTTGGGTTTTTTTTCTTTTATTTTTTTATTCATAACAACAAGAACATTAAAATAATAAACATTCAAAACTTTTCTTCAGTTCTTCTTTTTGTATGGGAAATGGTCTCCTCATGTACAAATAGTCTGTTTCACAAGCACAGTCCATGATATAGTATCTTTTTAGGGGGCCCACTTTCTTATCATAATCTTTAATACAATCTTTAGGTTTTTCTATCCATTCCCCTTGAAACCAAGTCTTCTCGGGTCCCTCTCTCTGGTGAGGCAAGACGTAATTGATTTTCCATTTGAATTCCCTATACTTGGGCTGTCTGGGTACTGCTAAGATCAGGATGCTGTCCCCTATGGAATCAGGTAACTTGAATCTCTTATACAGGTAGATTTCATGGTGACCTGTTTGTCCTGGATTCTGATCAAAGAAATCTTGAATACATGCCTTTTTGTTTTTCATCCATTCTCCTTTGTGACTTGTCCCTTCAGGTTCTACTATTTTCCAACGATACTCTGAGCTTAAAAATTCCATGATGTGTGCTCTGTCCCTCACTCAGATCAGAAATGATCTCTAGGATTTGTAGGTCTCCTTTTTATATAGAGACTGGAGTATCTATTTTTTTTACCTTGCAGAGGAAAAAACCAATAGAGAATTTTAAATTAAGAATAATTCAATAATCTCATTCTTTTATCACTGAAAAAAAAAATCTAGGTCTGATTGCTTTAACAATAGAAAACACTAAATTTGAGTTCTGTCCTTTTATTTATAGTTAACACAGAAATAGGCGTTTGGACTGTTGAATCTCGCCACGACAGATGGGGCAAAAATGAAAAGAAGGAGCACACAAGGCACAGCAGCATACGTGTCCACAAGGTAGAAAAACGATTTGTAATTCCTCGTCTAAACAAATGTGACATTTTCCTCGAGCCTGGACGTCTGGTTCTGGGTTCAGTAGAGGTTTGATCTCAGGTAAAGGTTTATATCCCTGCTTCTCTAAGTCCCCGACAAATATACTCATCACCCAGCTTCGTCCCTTATACTGATTAATGTAAGGACAATTGGGATTCCAATAAGCATGTTCTGCATAAGGATCTTCCTCAAGATCCCAATTCGTTAAAGTCATTCCACAATGAAAACAGGTAGCGTTATCTTTCATTCCCCTGTAGAAAAACCCAGCTCGAGCTAGGTCTGGTATTTTTCCTAAGAGAGGTTTTGGCCATCCCTGCTCAAAAGTAGCTTCTCTCTTTGAGAGCTGAGCATACTGGGGAAAACGCATGGGTTGGTCTGGCTCGCGACTCCCCATGATTAGAAATGACCTTTGATTTTAAATAAGAATACCTTTTATAGAGAAAAAAAACAACACATATAAAAACAATTCAATTTTTTATTTGTAACAAACAAACAAACAAACATATCAATAACCATAAGGTAGAGTGTTATAATTCTCTACAATTTGTCTCTTGTCATATACAATTCTAACTGTTTTCTCTGAAGGTTTGTTCACCACCTCACAATCACGGGTCCTCTGGATTTTGCTGGGATAGGGGACTTTTACTTCCTCTATTTCTCCCTTGAGCATTTTTTCTAAAGTCTCTGGGCACACCAACTGAGAGGTTCGATGGTTGAGAGTGACCCCTTTGCATTTATGAACCTCGGTCCCTTTGTCCGTCCGGAAACCATAATTTTTAGGACCTGCCGACATGAATTTGGTGATGTGATCCCCGTCTAATTCGTCGGTCCATTCTCCTAAACTATTGCCCAAAGTAGGATTAAAAGCTCCTTCCTTATGTTGGTAAATGATACTGTCCGTATCGAAATAAAGGCCCCGTTCTTCT